GTCCTGGCCAACGCCAGCGAATTAATTTGTACTTTTGCATATTGCTACGAGTACTAACCGGCTAGAGCAACGTAAAAGAAGTGCCTCCGGTTCTGCCTCCCTCTTGGCCCTAGCACTCTCTATGGGTCTAGCTCTCGGTCTGGCTTTGACCAGGACCACGATTCCGACCGCGCTGACGCTGACGCTGACGTGTGCGAAAGCAAAGGCGGTGGGTGACTGCGAGTGCCCGCGTGTAGTTTCTTGGTTAATGTGGCAAATATGTTAACAAGATACTTTACAATATGCCATAAAACACAAAGACAAGCCGCTCAGGAACCCAAACAGGCAAAAGTCAGCGGAATTCTACGCTCTGCTTACATAGGTTCCACCCAACACAGGCCACAGCTTCCCCTTCCGTTCGGTAAGACTCGAATAGACGGAAACACCAAGCACAGAAACCAGAACCCCAGCCACATTCCTGCTTACTCAGATGTGTTGTAAAATTATGCATTAGTTTTATGTCATTATGCGGCATATTAAAATCTCCTTAATTACGAAACGTAATCAACAAAGGTTCGGCGCACGTTTCTGCTCCTTGCTTGGTCCTCGTGCTCGTCCTCGTGCTGTCGTGTTCCTGAAGCATGGTGCGCATTTTGTGCCTTGACATGTTTCGTCCTTGTTTACATATTTGTTACATTGTTGCTGCGCTGCTGCTGCTGCTGTTGCTGCTGTTCCACTGTTTCACCCGGGTACGTGATATGTGGTCCCGTCCCGTCCCGCCTCGGCAAGAAAAGTCTGAGTAAACGAAAATGTCGGTAGCTAAATTATCATGAGTAGTCCAAAATTTTTCATTCCGGGTAATGTTTGTTTACGCACTGTACGATTATGTACACACATAACTCTATGTACATATGTATGTGCAAATTTAGGGATGTATGGAAGTGCGATAGGGTGTGGGTACGGCGCTAATGTGGTATAGCGCTGTCCTAGATTCGTATACATATATTTTTCCGGCCCATATACACATATAAAAGGCAGAAAATGACGTTTCCCACTCCGCAAAACTACATACATATGTATGTACAATGTACAAACATTTGTAGAATCGTTGGGAGGATCAGCCCCGGGCCCCTACTGAGTCACCAAATATTTACAAGGAAGAGAAAAATAAATGATTAATAATTACTTTTCGGGTATCCTGTGTGCTCCGTGCTGCCAGCCCATACCCCTGCCATTGGCCCATACCCCTTCATAGCCACCCGCAATGGAGCAAAGGAATTCAACGGCGGATGAATACAATCAGACCATCCATAAATTATCCCACGGTGGAGGGGTGGGAGCGTGCACAGCCGGCATAGATCGACCCATCGCGTTTATGGGCCTTTAATTGGGTAGAATTGTGTGAGTTAAGTGGGTCTTGTGTTATCAGCCCATTAATAAAGAGAACAATACGTCTGCTTGCACACTCTGTGAATTTACAAAATGCTATTGCAAATTGAGCCAAATAAAGTTGGCGCTAAAAAGTGCATTACTTATACAATCTGCGAGATAATACCCCTTTTGTATGGCCCAGAGGTCTGCTTTCCCTGCTGCCCAAGGAGCACGTCGGGTAAGCAGCCCAGGTAGTTAGGTAGGTAGGTAGGTAGACAGCGGTGATCCGAAGGAGCAGGGAGGAGAGTGCTGGCAGCAACAAAAGCCTATTATTCTGCACGTAATAAACATAAAGTTGGCGCAATTTGTAACATAAATTTAAAGGGCTAACGTAAATCTTAGCGGCAATTATGTGTTTGGAAACGCGCCGTATACGCAACGCGGCGCTAGCCGGGTCCATAACTCATGCGCTTCATCTTCAGCGTCAGCGCCAAAAGCGAAAGGAAAGCGAAAGCGAACGCGAACGCAACAGCCACGTCGTCCATAGAGACAACGACAACCAGAGGCGCATTTCAAAGCTGGACGAGGAAGACGAAGGAGCCCGACAATGAGAACCGGTAACAAATACCGGAGCCGCTAGGGGGAACAGCTAGCGAAAGGAATTCAAATAGCCGTAATTTATCACGTTGAGATTGCAGCTTCGCATTCGTATTCGCACGCGGCGGGAGCAGCAGATGAGTCGACGCCCCAACAACGTTGGGTCGTGGGGCCTTGGGGGTCGTGGGTCGTAGTCATCTGGCCTGGCTCCGTCGCGGCTTAGGAATGTAAAAGGATTATGCCGCTGTGGAAAGGGATGGGATGGGATGGGTTGGGAGGGGATAAGTACAAATACCAAGGCCCAGGGCGGGGGCGGAACGCAATTAGGCGTGCGACGAGACCGCGACCGGGTCTCTCCTCTTCCCAGTCCGCTATATTGGGATTTATGATTTCCGTTTTAATCAGATTTAATTTAATGCTTGCGATAAAGGTAAAATAATGCGCGCAGATTTATTAGCGCAAATTTCACCCAAAGCACAGACAGACTGCACGGCGATAAATGTGAATATCATAGTTGCAAATGATTCGTCCAAAGACATCTCCGATATTTCCAAGTTTGCCAGAAAAGAAACAATGGCTAAATTAACTCTGTAAATAATAAGATTTTACCCGCTCTCGATTGGGTAAATAGAGTTTGATTTCCTAGCTTTTGTTTATTGCAAGAATTACACAAAATGTAAATCTCTTTCCAAGGTTCAGCGATAACGGCTCAATTGCATCGGAGATGGTCTATGTGCGTGTACCATGCCCAGAACAGGACAGCAAAAGTGGCAGGAGTGGAAGGAAGCTCGGAAGAAAGCCGGGGCAATTCCAAGCAAACGCCAGCAGCACTAGCAAAAAGCATGAATCGACCAGCAGAGACGCAGCAGCATAGAACAACCGGCGAGCGGTTCCACGACGCCTCTAATCTCCAGGCGGAGCCATGAACGGCATTTCGCAAACTTTGGCCTGGCTTCATATTTTATTCAGCCGCAGTATCCGCCAGCAAGTGGGTTGCCGTTGCCTCCCCCACTCCTGGCAGGGCTACGGGTACGGCTACGGCTACGGCTACAGCTGGAACTTCTTCGAATTTGTCTTGGCTCTGGCTCTGCGTTTATTTTAATTTTTTGTGCTGCTTAATTTTTTCCTGCTTTCATTTCGTTTTACTGCCTCTGCCACTGTTTTTCGCATTTCGCTTTTCCCTGTGCTGTCGCCTTCCGTGGGCCATAAAACCGAAAGAAACGCGAACAGAGCTGAAAGCGCAGAAATTCAAATCATTGTCTTGCGACTTGTTACCGTTGCTTGCCCACTCTCACCCTCAGTGTTAGTCAATCCCAGTCCCAGCCAGAAAGGGAAGGGCACAGATAGTGCCCCGACTTTTCTGTGGCATCCTTAAGAGGAATTGTGCTGCGGTTGGGGGACCGCCCATGTCCTTGGCAACCTGTGATAATCGTCTTGTGGGCAGTTGCCGCCGTTCCAGTGTCCGTGCCCTCGCCCGTTTTTGTTGTCATTTGTTCAACAACTCTGCGGCTGCGGCTGCCGCTGTGGCAGTGTCCTGCGGTCCCAGTCCGGTCCGGTCGCGGTCGAGCTCGGCTGCATATCCTGGCCGAGCACCAGACCAGTCCAGTCCACAGCACGAGAACGAGGTCGAGCCGGGCTTCCTGCTCAGCATTTATCATTTGATTACAGTTTGACGGTCAATGTGACTTTGTGGCGGCGCCGGGGTCGGCTCGGGTCGGGTCGGGTCGGGTCGGAGACAGTGACAGTGGCAGTAGCAGTGGCAGTGGCAGTCGCAGCACGGGATTGGAAAACAAAGACACAACGGGTGGAAAATTAAATGTTCTGCTCCGCTCTTGATTGTGCAAAGCTTTCTGTTGTTACAGCTGGTTTATTTGTTTGCCGTTGCTGGCGCACAGCGGCTCTCGGCGAGCAATAAATGAAATTTACTTTTTAATAAGTGTGTACATTCCGCTTGTCGGGATCTAAATATTTGTTATGAGGGAGTTGTCGCTCGTTCTCGTCATGCATATTTCATAGCCCGGCAAATTGAATTACAGCCGCTTGTCGTCGGCTTGTCGCTCCAAATTGAATGAAAGTAACCGTGGTCGTGCCTTATGAATGCCCTCTATGGCTGCCCTTTACCACTCTCTACGGGACTATTTGAATCCAAAATAAAAGACTAGTTTTGGGCCGGACTAGTCCCGGCTGCTCATAAAAGTCTAAGAAAATATTTATAAATCACATTAAAATAGTTTTTTTCTATTCAAATTTCAATAATAAACATTTATTTTTAAAATAAAGTCGTACGTAATTTTGTACAACACGACTTGGCTAATTTCACACTTTTTGTCACAATAACTTCGGTTTCGATTTCGACTGTATACAAGAATAGTGTCTGCCGAATATGGCAAAAAACTATGCCTACCCGACTTGGCCGTTAATGCTAAGGACTGGTTTGGACATCCTTACACATCTACCTTAAACATTTTTAGAAAAAATAGTACTCGTAAAGCCTAAAAATGGGGATAAATAGAAAGACAGAAAGATAGAAACCACACTGTATTTAATGTATGACCTGTCAGTTAATTGAATTTGATTTGCGATCCAGCTTATGCTGTGTATAGTCTGCAAAATTTGATTGTATTAGTGACACCGAGAATCTAGTTTTGGAATTGCATACTAATTTCATATTTATGTCTCCATCCATCGTACTATATCTAAGCCAGCGGGAATAAATCTAGGTACTGTAGAGGAAATCGTGCATTCACATCAGCTTGCATTATATGTCCATTTGGTCTCTCTACGTTATATATATCCACATGTATCTCATCCAAATTATGATGACTGAAAAGAGTGGAGTGGAGAAACAGAAGCAACCTTTGCTTTGCGCCTTGAATAAAGTACATGTTTACACTCTGATTTTTAATTCCCGAGGAGATTTTCGAGGATATCAAAAAAGCCATCGTTTTTTCAATGTTTACTCATCTAGTTTACATAGATTTGGACACATTTATTTTGGGCAGTAGTAGCACACAAAAAGTCGAAAAGCAATCACGCAAATTGGACACCGAAACCAATTTTAGTTCACACTTCATTCCCGCGTAACGAAAAACGATCGCACCACCTGCAATCGTTCAAGTATCTACACCCAGCCAAATCGGTTGCACTTTTCAGGGCTAATGGCATTAGTTCCATCAAGTCTTCCCCAAGTCACGGCAGCAAACAGAGCAGACCAATTTGTACACGTCAATTTGCACACTTGGCATCTCTTCTATTAACAATTCGAGATGCTTGGCACAGAACGCCTTTCGCATCTGTTGTGTCTTCCGATCTGGTTCTGCTGTGCGCTGCGATGTATCGACGGGCTCGAGAACGGACTCGCCCAAACCCCTCCCATGGGCTGGATGCCATTCGAGAGATTCCAATGTACTGTTGACTGTATTCATTTCCCCAGGGATTGCATCAGGTAATGGCTCTGATTGGTAAATGCTGCTCTTATTCTACTATGTATTTCGTGTATTTCCCACCGTAGTGAGTCGCTCTTTAAGCGCACAGCAGATCTTCTAGTCTCCGAGGGCTATGCAGCCGTGGGATTCCAGTACTTGATAATCGACGACTGCTGGATGGAGAGAATTCGCGATACGTCCACTCAGAAGCTCCTGGCCGATAGGAAACGTTTTCCCAGCGGAATGTCTGCTCTGTCCCGCTACGTAAGTGATTCAGTTTTCCGTACTGAAAAGCAAAAGTAGGCAACAGCATTCTTCCACAGATTCATGGACGAGGCCTGAAATTTGGCATATACCATGACGTGGGTCAGCAGACTTGTATGTTCCGCGGTCCTGGGGCTCGGGGACACTTCGAGCTCGATGCCCAAACCTTCGCCGATTGGGGCGCAGACTACGTGAAGTTAGACGGGTGCTATGCCACTGAGTCCGAGCGGAACAGAGGGTATCCCGCCTTTGGCAAGGCCATGAACAGGACTGGTCGGACGATGGTCTACTCTTGCAGTTGGCCGTTCTACACTGAGAAAGTAGGTCTCGGAAGAACTTTAAGGCTCCCCCGGCACTTGACGCTAATTTGTTCCCCTTCAGCCCGACTACAGGTTGATAGCGAAGCACTGCAATCTTTGGCGGTTCGCAGAGGACATCACGGACTCGTACACATCAGTCTTCAGGATAATGGAGCTATACCGCAGAAACCAGGAGCTTCTATTAGCCCATGCTGGTCCTGGTCGATGGAATGACCCGGACATGGTATGTTAGGCACAGGGCACCCAATTCTTCGACTACGGCATTTGCGTGTGTAACGGCTTCCCCTTTCCCTTTTCCTTGCCCAGCTGGTTTTAGGTAACTTTCGTCTCAGCTATGACGCCAGCAGATTGCAGCTGGCTATATGGTCGGTGATCGCAGCTCCTTTGATAATGACCAATGACTTGGAGACTGTGCGCCCGGAAATAAAGGAACTTCTTCAGAACCGGTCAGGCACATTCACTATTTGGCATACTTAAGTCTGATTCAATTTCTGATTTCAGAGAAGTCATTGCTGTAAATCAGGACTTGCTTGGGATGCCCGGAAAGTGCGTCAGGGCATCGAAATACTTTCAGGTATCTTTAGTCAATCAATCGAAGTATCGGAACAAACACTCCGCACCATTCCTTTTCAGGTGTGGGTACGTCCAGTCACCCCGGTCAACGACCTTGGCCAACACTCCTTTGCAGTGGCTTTTGTAAATCGGGGAGGCTTTGACGCCTGCCCCTTGTGCCCTCGCAACTTCGAAGTCGTCTTGGAGCGTCTGGGTCTGGACAGCCCCACGGGCTATTATGTTGTGGTACGACCAAACCAAATGGAAAATCCCCAATCTGCATTTTCGCCTTTTATTCTTGCAGGACCTGTTCAACAGCAGTAGCAACATGGGCATGTTCAAGCCGAATGACGCCTTCAACACTCGAATCAATCCAGAAGGAGTGACGTTCTACAAGTTTACAGTAGCGCCCCTCTACTGATTTGAACAGTTTTCTTCAGAGTATTTATAAATCGAGAGGTCTATAAGCTCATCCACTCAGTGTTCAAATCTAAGAGTGTATCCGGAGTATATGCCACAAAAAGCCACAGATGAATATTTATCAACGTAATCCAGTGCCATGTGGCGCGCTGGTTATTGTTATTCGAAATATATATACATACATACATGCATAGAGCTCGCATTATAAATAACCTCGTTATCCCGAGCTTGAATATGATTTTGACAAATTAGGTTTAGTCATTGTGTGTGGGCCCGCCCTCAAGTGGGAGAAGGGCATACAGAGAATCCATTTGGTTATTTTTATGAGGAGGGGTCCCCAGCGACGGATGCGACCACGGGTCTCCGACGATGACGATAACCCGAATAAGTACGAAAAGCTAAATATTGTATAATCCATAAACAAAGATGCTGAGCTGCTGACGAAAAGCCATCAGGCTATGTCCGTGCCTCTTCCTGTGCCTGTGTGTGTCCGATTATCGTGTATATGCCTGAGCAACGCCCTTGCAGGGGACTCGTCATCCTCAATACTTGTGAAAATTTATTGACCAAATTTCGTCAAGGGATGAACCTTATAGCGAGCATATTCAATTTAGCAGTCTGCTCCCCATCACCTGCCACAAAAGCTTCTCGCTCTCTCTACCACCTCCCCTGTCCGCTGGCCTCCTCCTCAGCCTCCTCCATTTCTGGGAAAACATCAAAGGGGAGGGACGGGACTGTGTGGATGGATGGATGGATGGATGGACGGTCGCCAGCACACCTGCATCCATGCCCCCTGACAGCGACGCCGACGCCATTATCCTCTAATAAATATTGATTTCGGTGTAATAAAAGGACATGACAGAAGCCAACAACATCCTCGACGGCATTAACGGCCATCGGGAGATTGCTTGGCCGGGCTGGGACCAAGAGCGTCGAAGAAGGGACAAGTAACGAAATATGTGGATTAGACACGAGCGCTCCTTCACGCCCAACGCCCACGTTCCCGCGAATTACAATATAAACCGCCTGAAAATATTTGCAACGAATCCGAAAAATTATTCAAAATTAAATATAACTACCTCATTCAAATTATGTAAATTTCTGCCGCTTCCATCGCGAACTCACCTCCTGGCTGCCTCCTGGTTGTTATCCCCGTTATTAGTCATTTTCAAAACGTGCCGTCTTGGCCAGGCCAGAGCATGAGACCATGGGAGGTCGTGGAAGCAGGCCCTGAGCCTGAGCCGGACTCCTGTGTTTCGAGACTACGATATGTTTGGGCCGCCGCACGAGCACGCAACCCCCAGCACATGGAGATAAATATGGAGATGTCATGTTTACAAGCTCTGGCAATAAGTGCCAGTCGCCAGAGGAGTGCAGACCGGAACGAAGCCTCCACTTCTTCAGATTCGCATTCGCCTCAGATTAAGAGAGGGAATTTCCGAAAGAGAAAATTTCCCCAACAAGCGAGACGAGACACATCAACATGCCGGCACCGGCTGTCTGTCGCGCTTTCATTTCTAGGTCTGTGAAGCCCGAACACCACTTGAAAGTCCTTTCAAAATAGAAACCCAATTACCTGTGACTACAACCATTGTCCGCTACATTTACAATGTAATTGCGAGTGGCTTCGGCTGCTGTATTCTGCTGCTCAATATATTAGCATATTTACATCGGGCTCAATGTCTCAGTAGTCAGTATGTCCATTTAGAACCTGCCAGAGCTTCAGGCTGCACAGATGTCCGAGTTGGTTAACTGTTGCTTCTGGTGGCCATTATGGGGGCAGCACCAGCACTAGGCGGTAAGGCAGCTCTTCGTTTCCGAATGTGGGGGATTGCTGAGCGGCCACGACTGCATTGTATGCACTTGGGGAGCGCAATTAACTTTCCATAAAGATGGCGATGCCCGGCTCATCATAATTAATTCATGGCTTATATGCGAGGCCAATTTCCCGGCATCGCATCCACACTTGGGGCATTTCACGAGCACGGACGGACTCCATGGAGGTAAGTTAGTAACGTGCCCGCATAACTTTTTCATTAGCGGTGCTTTCTTCGCCTCGGCTCATTTGTGTGATGGTCCTGGATGGTCGTGTGGTCCTGAGCTAGTCTTAGGACAAGTGGGTAAAAACGACTTTGGCGCTGCCGCAATTAATAGACTCTCTACTCCACTACTCCACTCCTTTCCGCAGAGACTGGATGCCAAGGCAGCGTGGAAGTGCTTACGCGTGTACCCCATTAAAGCGACCTTAATATTCTTTAAGCGCGCCTGCCGTGTGGGCTTTTCAGCAATTGGAATATTTAATGAACTCCCTGCCAGGTGTTGGCTCCACTCGGGGCAAAGTCAGCGCAGCATCCTTTCAAAGGACGGAAAAGTTCGCTGAATAGTTTGATCCTGCTGGAGGATTTTTGGAAATTGGTTTGTTACGCGCCCTGCCCCTGAGCTAGGTTTAATTTTTTGTGGACCTATCTCTATCAGTACTTCATTTCCACATATGCATGCAGGCAGACTTGGTTTTAAAACAAACACAGTACAAAGTACAGTCTTACACTCGTGCCGTATGGTACAGGCACACATAGTAATTTCCTGTCCTGCTTGATAACGATGACAACGCCCGTGGTGACGCCCACGCCCACGCCCATGCCCACGACAACGCCAAAGTCCATGTGGACGATGATTTGCTGCAGCAGCAATTTATCAAGCATATAATTCAGACCATGGGTTCGATGCTGAGAGACTTGGTGTTGTTGGTGTTGGCCAGCAGTGAGTGGCAATTAAAGCAAACAACAACAGCGGAGGAGCATAAATAATCCCACAGACACACTCAGCACGAACCCTGGTTACTGGACACATGCCTAGTTTCGTGCTATGGGAGCACGAGCAGCAACACTTTGGCTCTGTTGCACGAGCGGCGCTGCCTTGGCCCTGGGATGCTGCCCCAGCCTGGGATGCTGTGGCTTTTCTGCAGAACTACTGCGAATCTGTCACTCTGTCCGGCAACCCATACGAAACCAAACGAATACAAACGAAACCAAACGAAAAGAAGCCCATTGTCAGCATTTTTGCTCATGGAACGACAGGGCAGCCGAGCTGCCGAAAGGGGCGAAGGCAAAGGCGAAGCGGTACTCGGTGCGTATGAGCAATTTTATAAAATACCAGTGCACGCTAACAGACGTCCAGACAAGGGAAGAGCCCGACCCCAAAACCCAAACCCAAGCCCAAGCACACCCAACAGTGGAAATTGTGTCGGAAATTTGGGCCAATGCCTTTGTGAACTTCGTTAGCACTCGGAAAATAAAAGAATCTGCAAAATTAAGAGGCAGAGACAATGACAACGGCCTCGTTCCCGGGCTGGGTGATGGTGATGCTGGTCAAAGGGATGGTGCGCACCCAATGTCCCTGCAGACTGCTCGCCCAAAACTCAAAAGTTGTACTCATCAGCTGCTCACGTTTTCCCCAAATTTCCCATAGAGCGGTCCGTGCTGGTACAGCTGTACAGACATGGAATTATGTTTTCTACACGGAACGAGTAGGAAGACAATTAGAAGATTTGTATTCCATCAGGACGTGGTATCTCAAATAACATAAACTTAGATATTTCAGTGGAATGCAACTGTGATAGACGATATCTAAATGCGGAGGAGTCCTGGCATATCATGTCCCAATTGCAAGTATTGTTTCCCCCATTCTTAAACGCTTATTGTTGCAGATTGCTGTACAAAATGTTGCAGAACTCCATCATTTTTATTACATGATTTTTCTTATTTGTAGTTTGGAATAAGGCTAGTCGGTTGCTGACGCTGCTGTAGTTCCATGTGCGTTGACAAATAATTTGTTTCCGGTCTCGGGTTCGGCTGCACAAAATGTCCTGCACATATCCTGTTCTGGCTGGTTGAAGCCGTCCAGATTGTGGGCCAGCCGTGCACTTCCATTTTTCAGCTTAACCCGGCGTACTTTAATTATTTTGAGAGCACAAATGTGACCAGAAACTTAAATTTCCTGCAATTAATTTACGAGTATACGACTATATGTATTTACGAAAAGTTCCAAAAGTCAGTGAAGAAGGCCAATATCCTCCCTCTCCATGTTCAATCACCTCCTGCTTTCAGGGTTCAGGAGAGAGAGTCAAAAAGAATCAAGCACTCAGACATAGGTATGGCATGGACTGAGGGACGAAATGAAAAATACACACACAAGGGAATTTCTACCCATATGGCTAGAGTTTCGGGAAGGCACATAAAACTTTTTGCTCAACGCTTGAATGAAGCAAAATTCAACAAATCATTTATGGCCGATGTCCGGACTGGGGCCGAGCCAGCCCCACTCAAGGAAATCGCCTCTTTAAAGTGCTTAGGCAAACGGTGCAGAAGTCAAACGTACAGGCGCTCGATCTGGATGTCCGGCTGTGCACATGGTATATCGGTGTGCCAAGCGGCAAGTGTCTGCCATGGGTTGGCTGAGCTGCTGGAGAGGACTAGGACTGGTCCTTGTGCTGCTGTAATCCTGTTGGAGAGTTGGGCAGCAAGGCAGGGCCTTCGCAGTGGCAGCTCATTACGTGTGCGAAAACTTTGATGGCTCCCATTGATGGTCTATTGTGCTTGTATCCACATTTAATCTCAATCGAGTCCCGTCCTTGACTTGAGTTGGTACAGTGCTTCAACATGATTAAGCAACCCACTATAAACTGTCTCAGTGCGCTAGCACTTGCCTTTAAAGCCTTCACAAGGGAATGGGGTATTCAATCCGGTATAATCGTACTTCTAGCGCGTATAACGGTTGATCTGGTGGCTTCGACTTCGACTTCAGAAAAGTTGTTAAAGGCTTTGGCTTCTATGGAAACAATAATGTTCCATCACCAAATGTTGACCAAAGAAAAGGTAGTTAGGATTGGAAATCCCAGCTGTGTGGTAGTTATGACCCGGTGTGGTTTTTCAGACAAGGACGTAAAAACATACGCTCTAAATGAGAATTAAATTAAATTAAATTACGTTGGTTCTGCAAAGGCTCGATAATCGAATAGAAATGCGAGCTATATTCAGCCGGAGAGGGCCAGACCCATGCGCTGGACGTAGCCAAGAAATCCTTGTAAACTTAGTAACAAAACATTCTCATACATCATGTCGTTCCCTTTACCTTCTACGGCTCTTGATAACCAAAAATGGCAGATCAGGCACCTATTATTTTTGGATTCTAA